CGTATTTTAAATGCGCTGGAAATAAGATGACTCTTCTTTATGTTGGTTTGTTTATTCTCAGAGATTAAAGAAACCTGCAGTGAAATCCTTCAAGCATAAAGTCATTTACCTAGCCTGTTTTCCCAGCTCGTCATGATTGGTGTAACTTATTGAAGCTGATCACAGTTTAGCAAACTGGCAGATAGAGATTTATGAGGGGGTCCCATTAGGATTAGTAAAGTATGATTGGAGAAAGTTGTTTTTGATGTGGAATACTCTTTTGGTGGTAGAACAGATTGCATTTTCTTTTTTTTTCCCTTTCCCTCTTCTTTCTTCCCTGGCCCCCTCCACCATAAATGTAATTATAGAAAGAACAATTCGAACTTTCATCATTCGTTTTAGTGATATAGGTCAGATTTAAGACAGAAATTAAGCTTTAAAGACATATACAAATATTCCTAGCAACATTTTTTGTCTCCCTCCCCCAAATGTATACATCCACACTCAGCTGTTCAGGGAAGAATGATAATAATAACTGACATTCATATATCAATCAGTGAGCATTTTATTGAGCACCTACATAGACTATATATGTCAGGCACTATGCCAAGTGCTTTATAATTTTTGCTTCATTTGGTCCTCACAACAATGCTGGGAGGTAGGTGCAGTTACTATCTCCATTTTACACATGAGGAAAGAGGAAAAGTAAAGTGACTTGTTCAGGGTTACAATGCTAGTAAATGTCTAAGGCCAAATTTAAACTGGGTCTTCATGACACCTGGCCCAGTTCTGTTATCTATTGTGTCATAAAACTCCCTGCCCTCAAAGTATAGATGATGTGTAGATGTGTGTACACACATCTGTAGTGATACAATCTGTATAGATGCCTATCATCTACATATAATTACATGCATCTATAGATCTTATATATACATATATATAATTACATGAATCTATAGATATCTCTCTTTATACACACACACAGACACACACACACACATACATACATACATGATATATATATCATTACAAAATCCATTTAGGGAATACTAGCAACTAAGGGGAAACAAAACACCCCAGAAATAGAAGGTGTCCCTTCAGCTGAGCTTTGAAGGAAACTAGAAATTCTAAGAGGCAGAGCTTATGAAGAAGGAACACGTGCTAGGTACAGGGGTCCGTCATTGCACAGGCAATGAAATGAGGTGTGGAATGTCCCCTGTGTGAAGAAGCTCACCCTACGCTGTAGTTTGTGATACTGTAGCGTTCCTGAAGGAGGAGTTAATGTATAGTAATGTTGGAAAGATGGGCTGGTGAAAGGCTCCAAATGTCAAATGGATTTATTTAGATTTTATCCTAGAGGTTAATTGAGAGCCATTTGAATGTATTGAGCAGAGAAGTCACATGCTTAGACCTGTTCTTTAGGAATATCACTAAGGTTGACAAAGCAAAAGTTGTATACTCTATTACATTCTACATATATTCTAATTTGAAACATTAAACAACCTTGCTAAGTAGGTAACGTCGTTCTCATTTTACAGAAGAGGAAACTAACTTCCAAAGACTTGCCCCGTGGTCAGAAAGCGTGCTCCATCGGAGGTCCTATTTGTACCCAGGTTTCTCTAGACTACCGTTGCCTGGGGTCTGGAGCTTAGAGTGAAGAAATAGTCCTGTAGCTCCCACCCCCTCCCTCCGGGCCTCGGAAGCGTCGCCCTGCCCTCTTCCTCTGGCAGCTGCCCGTTTTGGGCCAGTTTGGTCCGGGCCATCCCCCACCTAAGCAGTCCTGGATAGTGACTTTAAGGAGCGTTCGGGCCGGACCGGGGCGAACCATGTGATTGCTGCGGGGAGCCGCCTCCTAGGTACGGCCTAGCAGCGAGGTTAGCTGACGGCCGCCGCCGGGGTCAGTGAGTACTTGTTGAAAGAGTTAGGTGTACGGTGGAAAGCGCGGCGTAGGTGGGGCTCGGGGGACCCAGAGTTGGGTTTTGGTAACTTGGAAAACTAATTCTTCGTCTTGCCCCATCCGTTAATTTTGAGCAATTTCAGTTACTTTTCAGGAGAAAAGTTTCTCCCGGCTCCCCATGCCAGCAGCGCCCGGGTCTCCCGGCAGTTAAGATACTGACTTCTCGGCGAGTTGCAGATCCGAGTGACCCCCGTTTTCACCGAGCCAACGGCCGAGCTGGCCGCGGCTGTCCCCAGCTGCCCGGAGCAGAGGGGTTTCACTCGGACCCACAGAAACCTTGACCGTTGCCTTTTCAAGCCACCGGTGCAGAAAAAATTGCTCATTTGTGATGATGGAGAAAAACAAAACCTCGCCCCAAATCTAGCCGCAGCCACGCGTTAAACCCGGGGCGAGGCAGCGAGGGCGAGCGGACCGGTGTGGAGGGAGACGTCCCCGGGTGAGCGGGGCGTGGGAACGCGGCCCGGCCGCGGAGAGGGGGCGCGGCCCGAATGGGGAGCGGGCGCGAGGCGCGCTGGCCGCGCCGGGAAGCTGGCGGCTGGGGCGCCCGGCCGGGAGCGAGGGGGTGGGGTTGAGTTGCGGGGCGGGGCGGGCGCGGGCCGGCCTGGGGCCGGGGGGCCCGGGCGCGGGGGGGGCGCGCCCGCTGGGCGGGGGGGGGGGGCGGGGGGGGGGCCTGGCCCAGGCCGCGCGGCGCGGGGCCCGCGGGCTGGGCTGACGGTCTTTCTCTTTCACTTTCCTTCTCTCGGGCTGGCACGCCGGCGGGCGGCGAGCTCTGCGCCTGGGGCTGGCGGGTAAGGGGCGGCGGCGGCGCCGCGGGGTAAGGAGGGGGGCGCGGGGCGGGAGCGGGGAGCGCTCGAGCCCCCGCCCCCCGGAACTTTGCACCCTGCGGGGAAGCGGCCACTTGGAGGCACCTGCCGCAGCTGCCCAGACCTGCCGGCGGCGCGGGGGAGAGGGCGAGCGGAGCCGGCCCTGCCGGGATCGAGGCGGGGAGACCCGTCCCCGAGAGCCCACCTAGCCCCCCGAAGAGCGGGGAGGAGTGCGGGATGAGGAGGCTTAGGGAGGTGGGGGGGGCTCCATTTTCTCCTCCACCCATTCCTAGGAGGAGGGGTTAGTTTGTAAATTGCGAGTAAATGTCGAGAAAGGAGCAGAAACACCACGTGTTGACCTGTTGGAGCCAGGCCACCTGCGCATCCTTCAGAAAAACGGGCCCACATTTAGGTGCCCAGCCGTCCCATTTAATGGTCCCCAAACCCACACCTGACCGTCCCTACGCACGGACACAGAAACCAAAAGAAAAGGCTTTCCAACTTTTAAAGAAGGCTTTGGATCTTTTTTTTTTTTTTAAATTGCCTGCCTACCTCTTTCGATTTCTCATAGCATTTGGGGTTCCTCCCTGGTGCTGTTGTCACGTTCCATTTTATAGCAAAGAAGTCTGTAGGTAATCCACTAATGGGGTTGTGCGTGGAAGCTCCTAGAGGGCAATTACTCCAATCTGGGCACCCTACAGTTTTCAGTGGTTGCTTAAGAAATGTTGATTGAATTGAATGTTGAAATGAACTTTTGTGAGCCACTTATTTGTAGCATGTCAATAACTTGTTGCATTCTTGAATTATTTCGTTTTCTTAGATTGTTAGAGCTGAGAAGACCTTTGGTCATCTTAAGGCTTAACTCCCCACCCCCCCATTTATTGATATGAAAAATAAGGCCCAGAGATCTAAGGACTGGTTTTGGAGTTAGTAAGCGTGAGTTTTGAGTCCTGGTCTCTTCCAGTGACTTCTTGTGTGACTCCCTGCCCCGTGTTTGTAAAATGGGGATGATCTGCAATAGCTACTTCACACAGATTTTGTAAGGAAGGCCATATATAAACTTAAAGACTTCTGTGATTGTTTCCTCTTCTGTAAAAATGACAGTAATAATAGCACCTGCCTCCTGGGTTGTTGTGACGATTAAATGAGATGATATTTGTAAAGTGATTTGCATGCCTTAAAGTGTTATGTAAATGCTAGCTATTAATATCATTTATTTGTATTATATAAATTGAAATTGGTTGGTCCATTGGACTTAGAGTCAGGAAGACCTGAGTTCAAAGTTCAGGTGCATATTAGCTATATAACCATTTACAAGTCACTTGATTTCTTTCCCTCCTTTCCTTATCTCTAAAATGAGAGGGTTGGCCACATTGACCCCTAAAAATCTATGCTGTTAAAATGAATGAGTGGAAGAGAAAATAAATGAGTTGTGTAGGTGGCCATGTGGTAAAGTGGAATTAAGGTCAGAAGATCTCAATTTGAACCAGTTGGACAACTCACTTAACTTTTTTGGGCTTCGGATTTTTGTGAGTTGGGTTAGATAATTTCATAGTTCCCTTCCATACCTAATCTATGATCCTCTTATTTTCCATGGGCATAATAGGTCCTAGGTCAGGGATGAGGAACCTGCGGCCTCGAGGCCTTCTAGGTCCTTTTGACTGAGTTTTACAAAACAAATCTTTCTATTAAGAGGATCTGTTCTGTGAAGTTTGGATTCAGTCAAAAGACCACACTTGAGGACCTAGAAGGCCACACATGGCCCAGGTTCTTTACATTATACTCTGCCTAAAGATGCACAGCCCAACAGTGAGTTATTGAGTGTTAAATCATAACCAATATAAAATGTCTGTAAAATTAATTCTTAAATATATGATTTTATTTATATATATTCAAGAGATTTTTACAGCACACAGGTGAAGGAAACTTTCTTAATTACTATTTGCATTTTAGGAGCCTTATACATGGTGATTTTAGTAGCTAGAATGAGGTTCAGTAGGAAAAGTTCTTTTATTAAGAATTTAGAAAATTTAGAGATATGCCCTTGATTTTGATAACTGACAGATACTTTTCCTTTTTCTGAGTATATTTAAGACAATTTTAAAATCCTAATATGTCAAAGGCATGTTAAATTCAGTCATTCAAGTTACATGTAGAACTGAACATTTATCATTATGCAGCAGCAAATTTTGAAAATTATTTTTATGATATGTAGTAGACAAAATTTCATATTTCTTCTCCCACTTAAATAACTCTAATAGGTATGAAAAAGCAAAACCTCCAAACGGAGTTATGAACAGTGTCCTTATGAGAAGATTGATTCATTCAGATGTCTCAGAAAGCCCACCTACACAGAGAAACCTACCAGCTCCTGTGATTCGACTTTGATCTACGTAGGCTATTTCTTGTGCAAACTACTCAACAATATCAGCTACTCTTCGAATGGCTACTCAAAGGAAGCACTTGGTGAAAGACTTTAATCCTCATATTACCTGTTACATCTGTAAAGGGTATCTCATCAAGCCAACTACTGTGACAGAGTGTCTCCACACCTGTAAGTATTATTTTGGAAAGCATCAATCAAAATTATTCTCACTTTTAAATTTGTTCCTATTTTTATGGAATTGCAACTTTTTGAAAGAAAAATATTCTACTGATCAGTCAATAAGCATTTGTAAGGTGCCTGGACGTTCTGCAAGGCACTGAAGATATAAAGACAGAATTAAACAATTCTTACTCTGGGAACTTATATTCTGTTGGGGAAGACAGCACCTACACATATGAGTACATACAGAACAAATCCAAAATGAGGGAGTGAAAGAAAATATAATTAAGGAGGGAGGGCACCAGGAGGGGGGCAGGTTGGTGATAAGGGAAGCTGGTTCAAGGAAGGCTTTGTATAAAAAGTAGTGTTTGAGTTGTGTCTCAAGGAAATGAGAGGTTTTATAAGGCAGAAGTGAGGAGAGAGGACAGTCTTGGCATAGGAGATAACTGGTATAAAAGCCTCTGTGGACCCAACCACAGAGTATGGGAAAGGGAGCAGTGTACAGTGAGATGGGAAGATAGGCTTGGACCAGATTTTATAGGGCTTTAAAAGCTAACCATAGGAATTTGTTTTAACTTAGAGGCAGTGGGGAGTCAGTGTAGTCCACTAAATTAGGGGAGTGACATGGTTAGATTTATATGCAAGGAAAGTTATTTTGGCAGCTTTGTGGAGGATGGATTGTAGTGCAGAGATGTGAGGCAGGGAGATCAACAAGAAGGACATTGTAAAATAGTCGAAGTGAGGGTTTGAACTAAGAGTGGTTATATGAGCAGGGAGAAAGGGTGGGTTGGAGAGATTTTGTCAAAGTAGAAATGACAAGATTTTGCCTCTGTTTGGATATGTGGGTCAGGAGAAGTGAGGAGTCAGGGATTGGAGACTGGGGAAATGGTTGTATTTTTGAGAGAAATAGACAAGTTTGGTAAGGGGAGAGGGAAATAATGAATTCTGTTTTGTACGTGTTCAGCTTGAAATGTCTCTGGGACATGCAGTCTTAAATGTCCAACAGGCAGTTGGCATTGTGGGACTGACACTGGGGAGAGAGGTTCAGCCAGGGTACTTAGATCTGTGAGTCATTTGGGTGGAGATGATAACTAAACCCATGGGAGCCAATGAGGTCACCAAGAGAATATAGAGAGAGAAGAGGCCTCAAGACAGAGCCTTTGGGAGGTAGACTATAGGTAATGAACTGGCAAGAGAGACTAAGAAGAGGTGGCCACACAGGCTGGAGGAGAATCAAGGAAGAGGAATATCATGAAAAAACAGAAGAGGTATCTAATCTCTATTAGATGGAGGAGAGAAATCAAAAAGGATGAGGACTGAGAAAAGATTTTCACTATCAGACTTGGCAATTAAATTATTGGTGACTTGAAAGAGAGTACTTTAATTTGAATGACGAGACCTGGAGCTAGATTGCGAAGGTTTGAGGAGGAGGTCCCAGGAAAGGCAGCAGAGGCTCTGAGTGTAGACAGCTGTCTAAGAGTTTACCGGAGAAAGGCAAGAGGACACCTTGAAAGAGGTAGAAGGATACAGTGAAGGTTTCTCAAGGATGCCCAAAAGCAATCAGGAAATAGCTGACAGATGGGGAGAAATTAAAGACTAGATAGAGAGGTTGAGAAAGGAGAGGAGATAAGATAACAGAGGATGGGAGCACATAGGGTCAAGGGCACATATGGAAGGATTGGTGCTGTCAAAGAGAAGGAAAACTTTATCATCAGAAACCAAAGTAAGGGAGAAACTGGGGCCATATTTACAAGATTTATAGTGTTTTCTAGTAAGGAGCCTTTAGAAAAACTAGTAGCATCTTAAGAGTACATACAGAGAGACATAGTATCCACAGCTAGGGAAATGATGGTCCTCTTGTCCTCTCTTGGTCAGATTATTTCTGGAGAAATATATTCAGTTCTAGGCATCACATTTTAGAAAGGACGTTGATAAAACTATATAACACCCAAAATGCTAAAGGATATTAAAACATGCTAGTTGAAGGGGGCAAAATATTAACCCGGAGAGGAGAAGACTTGGGGAAGTACTACCATCCTTCTAGTCTCTGAGATTTGAAACTCCACAATACTTGATTTCTCTCTCTCACTTCCTCATATGGGTTCATATTGAATCAGTTGCCAAGTTTTATCAGTTCTACGTCAACATCTCACATCCATCCCCTTCTTTCTACTTACAGGCTACTGCTTTCCTCCAGACTTTTATCAGCCTTTTGCCTGGACTATTGCTATTTGTTCTCCCTTCCTGGCCTCTCTCCCCTCCCCAATCTGACCTTCACACAGTACCCATGAATTATCCAGGAGCAGCTGTCTATCAGGCAGTTAGGACTGGAACTTAGGGTAAATGGGAAAACTATATGGAGAGATTTGGGAGTCATCTGCATAGAGATCATTAATTGAACCCAAGGGAGTTGGTAAGATCATTGAGAGGACAGAACCCTGGGTTACAACTATGAAATGTGGATCATGATCTAACGGAGGATACTAGAAGAGGTGGTCAGGTAGGTAGAAGAATTAGAGCAGTGTCAAGAATACTCAGAAGAGAAAGTATATGGGAAGGAGGAATAGTTTTTAGTGTCAAAAGTTTCTTTGGAGTCTAGGAGGATGAGGACTGAGAAAGGGCCACTGGATCCATTTATTAATTAAGATATCATCAATAATGGTAAATGGTCAAAAGATAGTAACAAACAATTCTCAAAAGAAAAATGTTAAACTGTTAGTAGCCATGTGAAAGACTGTTCCACATCAGTTATAATAAGAGAAAGACAAATCACAACAAATCTGACGGTTTACTTCACATTTGAAAAAAATGGGAAAGATGATGGGAATAGTCAGTACTGGAAGACCTTTGAAAAAATATTCACACTTATGTACTATTGGTGGACCTTTAAATTGGTAGAGTCATTCTAGAAACAGTTTTGAATTATGCAAAAAAAAAAAAACCAAAAACCCAAAACCTGACCAATGTCCTCTTTCCTTTGTCCTAGATATATCCCTGCCCAGGGAAGTTAAATATAGAAAGAAAGGTCTAATATACACCAAAATATCAATAGCATTTTTTGTGGTAGCAAGGAATTGGAAATAAAGTTGATAACCATTGATTAAGGAATAGTTTTTCAAATTGTAGTACATAAATGAAATTGCAAAACAGGAAGGATGAAAATGAAGAATGCAGAAAAATATGAAAAGATCGATATGAACTAAACCAGGAATACACTGTACACAGTAACTTTTAACAGTGTAAATGGAAAGAACAAAAGATCCAAATGGTATACGGTTTAATTATAATGACTAACCTTATTCTCGAAGAAGAGATGAGAAGATATTCTTCTCCCTCCTGTTGGAGCTATTGGTGTGGAACATTTCATCTACTTCAGACTTGATTGGTATGAATTGTTAAGAATGGTGGCTTCCTTGGTAAGGGGGAATATGAAGTCCACTGTGACAGGAGGCAATCCATTCTAGTTTTGAATTCCCATGAGTTGAACTAATGTCTTTATGCAGATGACTTCCAAATGAGTAGATTAGCCACTTTTTTCTCTCTAGAGCTTCTGTCACCTACTACTTGACTTTTGTACTCTCCAACTGGATCTCAAACTCCACATGACCAAATGGAACTTACTTTCTTTCCTATACCCATCCCTTCTCTTAACTGCCTTATTCTTGTTGACATTCTTCCAGCTATCTAAGTGTAGCACCTAGTAGTTATCCTCAGTTCTTATTCTCATTCATCTCCCATCAATTACCAAGTCTTGTTGATTCTGCTTCAGCCTATCACACCATAACCAGTCTAGCCCTGGTTCTCAGTACCATGGACTTGCATGGACTACTGCAGTAACCCATCCTTTTTGCTTTCAAGGCTCTGTTCCACACTATAGAGCTGCTAAATTAATACTCCTGGTCACAGGCCTGATCCTTACCTCCCTCCCCTGGCTTAATTGGCCTCCATTTCCTGTAAGATAAAATACTGAAAATTTAAATACCTTTAAAATCTGGCTACACCTCGTCTCCCCAGAGTGATTACATCTTATTCCCATTCATGCACTCTATATTGTAGCCACAGTAGCTCGTTGCAGCTCCTTGCAGGACGTTCTGGCTCTGATTTCTATGTTTAATAATTGCCTTTTGAATTGATTTGAGTGTAGAGGAGAATGTAAAAGTGACCTCCTTAATTAACGGGTCAAGACTGTGAAAAGGAGGAAAGTGACACCAGACCAGGGATGATAGACAGGGATTGGTAGAATGTTTGGGAAGGTTGGAGTAAAGATAAAGAATAGTCTTAGGAGTGGCATGGTGTAGGAGTTTATGGTTAGAGTGAGCTGGAGAGAAGTTGAAGTCTTGTAGGGGATAGAGTGAGCGCTGGACCTGGATCAGGAAAAACCAAGTTCAGATCTTGCCTCAGACACTCAGATAGCTTTATGACCCTGGACAAGTAATTTAACATCTCTCCCTCACTTTCCTTATGTGTAAAATGAGAGGGTCAGACTCAGTGGCATCTTGGATCCTTCTACCTCTAAATCTGTGATCCTAAAGGAAAGCATAAGGAAGAGGCCAATGATGAACAGTCTCATACCCAGGCATACCCAAGAATGCATCCCCATGATTCTTAGAACGTAGGCCATTCCCCATCTTCTTTCACCCAGGTTCTTATTCTCATCCCCCTAAACCCTCCCACCTCAGAGTCCCAAAATTCCAGCTGAACACCACCTAGCCTTTCCACTCTGCCCTATAGGCAACAAACTTCCTTTCATCCTAAATCTTTTCCTCTCCCACTCCTCCTGTCCTTTAGCTGTTACAGAAACATGACTTCCTCCTGCTGAGCCAGCTTCCCTTGCCACCCTTAACAGTTCTGGCGGCACCTTCACTCATTCCCTTCAGCCCACTGGTGAGGCAGTTCTCCTTGCTCCCTGTTCCCACTCCCAGATTCTCTCTCGAACTCACCCAGTAACCCATCACTCAGTAACCTCTCCTTTGAGGTTCATGGCTGTTCTCCAGGTCACTCCCCTTCCT